CACACACACGTTTCATTTAAAGGAATTTTTGCTGTTGTCTTATTATAATGCTATGGAGTATATGTCATAAGCTCCTTTTCCATAGCAGATTGTTGCTTTGCAGCTTATTGTAGACAAAGAATCTTTAAATGTATACAGTGGGCCAGATTCTAGTTACCCTACAAAAAGCAGTGGGGCTTCTCTTAGGTAAATGAGTCCAGCTGAGTGCAATGTGTGCTCAGGGCTGGCTCCAGGCACCAGCCCACCAAGCTTGTGCTTGGGGCGGCACCTGGAGGGGAGCGGCGCGGCGCTCCGGCCGCCGGGGAGAGCGGGGCCACGGCCGGGCTCGCCGCCCTCCCCCTGGCGCTCTGGCCGCCCTCCCCCCCGGTGCCGGGGGGAGAGCGGAGCCCCCGCCAGGGCTCGCCACCCCCCTCCCAGGGCTCCGGCCGCCCTCCCCCTGGCCGCCGGGGGGAGAGCGGAGCCCCCGCCGGGGCTTGCCGCCCTCCTCCCAGGGCTCCGGCCGCCCTTCCCCCCGGCGCCCTCCCCCCGGCCGCCAGTGGGAGAGCGGAGCCCCCGCCGGGGTCGCCGCCCTCCCCCTGGGGCTCCGGCCGCCCTTCCGGCCTGGGGCGGCAAAAAAGCCAGAGCCGGCCCGGTGTGTGCTAGTGAAACATATTTTGACTCAGTATGGGGGAAAGTCTTCCCTGTGTAGAGGCCTAAGCACAAAGCCCTTCCACCACATAAACCCCCCAAAATAGGGCTGAAGTGGATTTAAGTGGTGCACAGAGCTTGTGCTGTCACCATGCACAGGGGTGACTTTCAACCTGTGATTAAAATAAATTTGGTTTTGAGGCCTTCCTATATTATAAAAATTCCAAGTGAAATAAGCTCTGTGCCCCATGTTGTGGGGGAAGCAGTATACTGTACTTCAACAGAACGTAATGCACTTTGGTGTTAAATAAGGGCTGAAGCCTGTGAAGTGTTGAACTCCCTGAACCCCACTGACATTAGCAGAAGCTGAGGCCATGCAGGGCTGGGTCCTAAGTTCACAGGTATGCGTTCCACAGACCTACCAGTCATGCAATAAAGCGGCCACAAGGGAAGAATGGTATGGTGACCACCAGCACTGTAGATAGCTGTGTAGAAGAGAAAGCCACAATCTGACAGCCCAGGGCTTGTAAATTGTGCATAAATAGCAAGAATTATCTCTGTTCTTTCTAACAACTATTGTGGAAGGGATATTAAACCTCAGGGGTTAAGCCAGTCTCTTAACTGAGAACGAGACCCATGTTTTACTCTGTTCTGGCTCCCATGACAATGGGAATTGAGTAAATGAATTTCCCGGGATCATTTAGCACTCCAGTCATGTTGGAGTCTGGTGGCACCTTAAAGACTAACAGATTTATTTGGGCATAAGCTTTCCTGGGTAAAAACCTCACTTCTTCGGATGCATAGACTGAAAGTTACAGATGCAGGCATTATATACTGACACATGGAGAGCAGGGAGTTACTTCGCAAGTGGAGAACCAGTGTTGACAGGGCCAATTCAGTCAGGGTGGATGTAGTCCACTCCCAATAATAGATGAGGAGGTGTCAATTCCAGGAGAGGAAAAGCTGCTTCTGTAATGAGCCAGCCACTCCCAGTCCCTATTCAAACCCAGATTAATGGTGTTGAATTTGCAAATGAATTTTAGTTCTGCTGTTTCCCTTTGAAGTCTGTTTCTGAAGTTTTTTTGTTCAATGAGTCATGTTGGGTGGCTACATAGCTGGGTTTCTAATAACATGTGATTCCTGTCCTATAGGAATAAAAGGGTACTAAAAACAGGAAAACCCCAAGGAAAGACAAAGGTTTCTTGTGGATCAAAATGGCTATTTGCGGTTGTTTTTTTGTTTGTTCTGCATTCTGAAAAGCTGAATGCCACTTCCACTTTCAGTCCAGCGGGATCTAATGAAGGCTGGTTGTTCACAGGACAAGACGTACTGTGTCTCACAGCACTGTTGATCATTCAGGCCCTGACGCAGAAAAGCACGTAAGCAGGTGCTTAACTTTAAGCCTTTACTTAACACCCCTTGAAGTCAATGGGACTCAAACATATGTTTACCTTTGACCATGAGCTTACGCTCTTTCCTGAATTGGGGCCTCAATTGACAGTGCTCCATTGTATAACACACCTAACAGCTAAAACATTGCTGAACAGCTTTAGTTTTACTGCCTTTATGCTGGGATGCCTTTCTTTGATGCAGATATTTATCTCCTGTGTGTTAAACATACCTGAGATGTGATTTACCTTATCAGGCCTGCATTATTATGAGTAGAGCATTTTGAAGTGGTTTCACTGAATACATGTCACATCCCCCATGACTTCTGATAGGCAATGATGATAGGACCTGCCAGTTTACAACATCTCTTTATTTTACTCAGATTATAAAACATCATCACAGGGCTTTATATTTTAACAACATTCACCTGTTTTAAATTGAGAACTGAATTAGTTCCTCTGTTATAAATGCTAATAAATTAATTTTATTTTGCATCCGCAATACCATAAAAACTTATTCTAACTGGACATTTTTCAGTGCTTACCCTGATGCAAAAATTCTGAAGAGTTTGAAGTCTAGCTATATATATATATATTGTATATACACTTATTTTATATATACGCATATCAAAACTCATAATTTCTGTTAATCACCCCTTACAGTCATCTTGCACTTAATAATTTAAGTCAATATTATGAAAATATGAACACCCATTAAGTTATTTTGCTGCTATATAAGACATTTAATGTTTAAACAGAGAATTGCAAAATTACATGAATGCAATAGGAATTAACGTACACTTTCATTTAAAATTGCCACAAGGACGTTTCTTAATTCAATAACTTTTCCCATATTTTAGAATACTCTTTAATATGTTTAAATGATCTGTTTCTTTAGAAAATACATACACACAAACATGATGCATGAGTGTATATGTATTTATTATGTTCAATATTATATGTAATATATATTATGTTTGCTTGCATTTATATATTACATACTATATGTATATTCTATATATCATGTGTGTTTGTGTGTTATCAAACGCATATGTACACATAATAGGGGCAAATTCTTCCCTCTGATATGCACGTGCAACTCCCATTAACTACTGGGAACCACAGCCCAATTCAAAACCCACTGAAGACAATGGGCGTCTTCCCAGTTCCAAATACACCCACCTACTACTTTAACAATTGGCTCATTGCCTACATGTGTGTATCTGAGGTTAGAAGTGGGCCCCTGGTGTCCTTTGGTTTATTTTAAGACCCCCAGATGAGATATAGTTGATGCTTTCCATCTGTTGGAACAAATGAACAACAACATGATTTTAAAAAAGTCACTCCTATTAGGTGATATTTTAAAAGTAAGGGCTGGTCTACACTAGGGGGGGTGTCGATGTAAGATACGCAACTTCAGCTATAGAATAGCGTAGCTGAAGTCGACGTATCTTATTTCGACTTACCTCGGGTCCTCACGGCGTGGGATCGATGGCTGCAGCTCCCCCGTCGACTCCGCTACTGCCGCTCGCCCTGGTGGAGTTCCGGATTTGACGGGACCGCGTTCGGGGATCGATATATCGCGTCTAGACGAGACGCGATATATCGATCCCCGATAGATCAAATACTACCCGCCGAATCGGCGGGTAGTCTGGACGTACCCTAAAAGCCTGAGGGCCTGTTTCTCCTCTCACTTACACCTAAGTGGGACTCAATTGTCTGCAATGGAGTAATCCCTCAGTTACACCGGTGTAAGGGAATGGAGATCCTATGAACACTTAGGTGCTTAACTTGGCTTATAGTATACATAATGTAAACATATTTTAAGTAGATGATTTGTTTGGGATTTGAAAGGAAAAGGAAAAAAATCCTGTTATGGAAGGTTAAGAGATGAATATTCAGTTGAGATAATAGAAGAAATATATATTCTGGGATAAAACTATGCATTTCATAACCTGTTGGTGTCATTTTTAATCATTAAGTAAATACGTATTCATTTTAATTTTAGTTTGTAACTGATTAACCTAAACAGCTCTTGATAACACACATTTTAGATGCATATTCTGCATATTAAAAATAGAAAATAATCAAATTCTGAAACTAGTTACTGCCAACATCCTAGGGCTCAGTCCTGCAAACACTTATGCACATAACTGTAAGCATGGAGTAGTTCTGCTGAAGCCAAAGTAACTACTCATGTACTTAAAGTTAAGCAAGTATGCAAGCGTTTGCAGGATTGGGCCTGTAGTTACTATTCAGAGATTACTAACTGAGATCCCAGTTCTGCAAACACTTGTGGGTGTTGTGTTTGCCACTACGTGTAATCTCAATTGAAGTCAATGGCAGTAGATAGATCAGGCTCTGAGAGGTTTAATTTACTTTTTTGGATCAGATGCTAAAAACACTCATAAGTGTAAGAGTTTGAGGACTAGGTCCTTTAAACAGCAACAATGATTTATGGGATAATTTTCACAAATTTATTCTTCTTTATTGCTAGTCAAAACTAACTTTGCATTGTGCACATACCACAAAACAATCTAAGCAGCTTTTCTTCTTAAATAAACGGGTACAATTCAAAACTGACATAAGCTCTACTATTTAAAATAAAAGAAAATTTGAATTAAAAATTGCTTTTGGACTTAAAGTGCATATGACAAGTTTCTCCCATAGCAAATTACCAACCCCGGAATATAGGGGTCTGTAACGGAAATGCTGACACAGCCTTATCTTATGCTGCTAGAATACATTTCAGTATAAAGGAGAGCAGATGCACATCGCAAAAGGGTAGCCCTCCATTTTAAATTTCATTCCCAATGTGATGATTTGGCATAAATTGGATCTGAATTACTAATTTTTTAAAAAATACTTGTGCTTTTAGAACATTTGGACCCTGTTTCCTAATGCACGTCCTTTATCAGACATTTTGTCTCACTTATTACATACAAATGAATCATCTCTAAGTCAAAAAATGGTGTGTTTGTGTGTGTGTGTGTGTGTGTGTAAGTAAAAAGGAAACGGCAAAAGGCATTGGTTTCTGAGAGAAGGTTACCATCTTTCTTAATCTCTGGATTATTTTTTCCTTTTAGGGCCTATTCCTATTCTTACTGAAGTCAATGGGAAAACTCCCATTGAAGTCAATGGCGCAGAATCAGGCTGTTGGTCATTCAAAGGCCTCTCCAGCCAACTTGTTACTGTTAACATCTCTATCATGAAAGCTGACCAAATGGGTTCATTACCACTAACTGCCAGTTTTAAAATTTACTCTCTCTTTTTTAAATTTTTAAATACAAACAACATTTACCACAAAAATATGAAGGGAAAAGCCATCACGGTTTTGTTTGCAAGTTATTACCTATTTGTATGACACAAAATCATTTACAGTCACAAACTGTACAGAATAGTTGATAGGGAACAACATATCTGTGGCTTAGAGTAAAAAAAGATTGCTTCGGTTGTAATTAAAATAATCATTGACAGGATATAAGACTTTAAAATCTATAAAGTATGATAATTTGGCTATGGAGACATTGTAATATGTCTAACACAGAAGTCTGGATAGTAGAAAGGTGAGTAGAATGAGCTAGAAAGGTAAGAGACCAACATGCAGAACTGTGCTAGTTCTTGCTCAGTATACTCTTCAGACTTCTCTCTACCGCTTCGTCTAATTCTTCTTCCAGCTCTTCCTTCTTGGACATAGCCAGTTTGGATTGGTAATCTCTTACTATTTGGTCTATATATGGTGCGCTTTGTGTCCCATGTAGCATCAATGTCCATTCCTTCAGTACTCCCCTCTGTGGCATGCTATCAACAAATCCAACTTCCAGAACCCAAGTGCCTCTGGGGTCTTCTCCCCAAGTGTGTGTTGTCATGAAAGGCCATTTGTCAAAACCCACCTTGGAGTCATCATCTCTTGGACGTCGGCTCAGTAAAATGGATTTAGTCCCCATAGGTGATGTCATGTTGATGTTGAGGTCCCCTCGCCTAGTAGAGTTCACGGTTATAACTGCTTGCACATGTTCTAGGTAGCGGACAAAGTTTTCTTTCCCCTCACAAGCATCAGTTGTAAGTGTTAGAACCAACTTGCCACTTGATGGTATTTTTCTGAGGGTTTAACAACAATAACATAGGTTAAAATGATATATACGATGAGGCACACCTTATTTTTCATTAAACATCTACATGTGTTTATACAAACACACAAAAATACTATAATAGAATTTGAAGAGCATGGATGAGCAGGGAGAATGGAACTCCTTAGACAGGCAGGAGTTGGAGGTTGTGCCATACATGATTTGAAGAATACAGTAAGTGCTCACGGATGACCTATTGCCTCACCAAGTTAACTATCACTTCATATGGCTCACCATTGTCATCTTCATATTTACTCATCACCATAAAACTGACTCTGGATTAAATACCATTATGAAACTCTTCAGTCATCTACATAATAAAATGGAAAGCAAGCCAAATCCAGAGATTTAAAGTGACCATGAGCACCAAATCCACATGGTACTTATTTTTAATATTTGCTAAAATCATTATTTTTCATATTATGTTATCTGTTCATTCCCATAGCCTCCTAATATTAAAGTATGTAACCGTTTCCTTCTTAACTCAAAACAATTTATTGAAAGAAAATGAAGGAGCCAAATCTAGATCGATAGGACTCAAGCTTTATAAATAAAATATTGACATTTTAAGGAGCAAGTCAGCACCTGATTTGAAAGTACTTTACAAAACAAACACAGAAAGAAGGAACATGTTAAGGAAGTACATGCTAATAGTTAAGAAATAGCAATGTCTATTAAAAATTATACATGGCTTTTTTTGCTTACTAGTATTTCTGGTTCTGGTTTAATTATATGTTATAGTCTCTAGAAAAACTGAGAGCAGCTGATCTTGTGAGACAACTACTATTAAAGGATGTCAGAAAGCATTTCTGGCTAGAATGACAGGAGGCCATTTCAGAATATTTCAGTACCATCAGATTCAAATCTGTATCCTTGCCCTAATCTGCACTCAAACCCAAACCATGAGCCCTATCTCTAACTTAGTCTGGATTATAACACACTTTTGTTTGCTCATTTATACTAAAAAATGGCTATATTTGACATTTGAAACACACACACACACACACACACACACACGGACACAACTATTTTGCCACATTCTCAATATGTCAAATCCTAAGGCCTTCATTCCTTAGTTATTATAACTCAGTTCTTATGTAGAGAAACCTCCAGTGAACTCAACAAAATTTGCCTGAATACGGTTGAAATAAAAACTAGGGACAAAATGTATGGCCAGCCTCTGCATGAGTGCAATTTACACTCTTTGGGTGAAATCTTAGCCCCACTTAAGTCAATGGGAGTTTTGCCATTGACTTTAGAGGAGCTAGGATTTCACATTTTGTGCCCGCAATTACACTCTTTGTGCTTGTGTGAGCAAAGCAATTGTTCCCCAATTTTCAACCCAAAAGGGGTAGGGATGAGGCAGAGTTGTGGTACACCCCTTTCAGGTGCTAGCCAATGGAGAGTGGTAGCAGTGAGTTCACTCCCCAGGTATTCCTGAGAACTCTGGGAGACACCGTACCTGAGAAAGCGACAATGTCAGTGAGGATTTATGTTGGTGCAGTGTGGCTCCACATTGCCACTAGCACATGCCTAATAGGCACTCCTGGGCCCTGAAAAATTACCTCAGGAATTGCCTCACAAATCATACTAACTACAGAGGTGGTGTAAAAAACCATGAATGCCTTTAACAGCAACATGCAGTGAACAATGTAAAACGTTGCCTCTGAGTGAGTGAAGCAGCTGAAAGATATAAGAATTACTTCAGTCATTACAAAAATCCTTTTGATGTAATTATCAAACTCTGTTTGCCTTCTGACCTGCCCAAAAATTCTTCTCCATGTCTAACTTCCATGCCCCCCGCATTATGCAATTGTTCATAATTCTATAGTGTTGCATGTGCCACTCTTTTAAGAAGTGCAACATTGGTCATGTTGGGATGAGGAAACAGAATTTCCCTTTTAAAAGTAACGTTTGCAATCAGAAAAATAAGGTTGATATTTTACTAAGTGCTATTGTGATACAGTGAGACTCAAAAGGGGCCTTTATAAGGGTTATTTTTATATGTTCAAAAAATTAATTTTCAAAATGCATAACAACAGGGTGACTATTAGGTAGAAATGCCACTCGGCAGGAACTCATGTCCATAGGAAAAGTGGCACTTAACATGGACTTTGAAAAGTTTTATTTTGTAAAGTTGGCTTAGCTTTTAAATGTTGCAATTCATGATTTTTCCCTTGGCAGCAAGAGCAACCCCAATGATAAGGTTGTTGATGCTTAGCAACCATTGAGACTCTGCAAGAGTCTCAATAGATCTCAAAGCGCTTTACAAAGGAAGTCAGGATCATTACCCCTGTCATAACTATAAAGGGAAGGGTAACAGCCCTCCTGTGTACAATACTATAAAATCTCTCCTGGCCAGAGACTCCAAAATCCTTTTACCTGTAAAGGGTTAAGAAGCTCAGGTAACCTGGCTGACACCTGACCCAAAGGACCAATAAGGGGACAAGATACTTTCAAATCTTGGTGGGGGGGGAAGGCTTTTGTTTGTGCTCTTTGTTTTGGGGGGAGTTCGCTCTTGGGACTAAGAGGGACCAGACATCAATCCAGGCTCTCCAAATCTTTCTGAACATATTTCAAACTTGTAAGTAAACAGCCAGGCAAGGCGTGTTAGTTTTATCTTTGTTTTCTCAACTTGTAAATGTACTTTTTGCTAGGGTGTTTACCTCTGTTTGCTGTAACTTTGAACCTAAGGCTAGAGGGGGGTCCTCTGGGCTCTTTAAGTTTGATTACCCTGTAAAGTTATTTCCCATCCTGATTTTACAGAGATGTTTTTTACTTTTTTCTTTAATTAAAAGCCTTCTTTTTAAGAACCTGATTGATTTTTCCTTATTTTTAGATCCAAGGGGGTTGGATCTTGATCCACCAGGAGTTGGTGGGAGAAAGGAGGGGGGATGGTTAATTTCTCCTTGTTTTAAGATCCAAGGGGTTTGGATCTGTATTCACCAGGGAATTGGTGAAGAGTCTCTCAAGCCTGCCCAGGGAAGGGAATTAGCACATTGGGAGTGATGGCAGCAGACCAGATCTAAGCTGATAGTTAAGCTTAGAAGTTTCATGTAGGCCCCCACATTTGTACCCTAAAGTTCAGAGTGGGGAAGCAGTCTTGACAACCCCCATTTTATAGATAGGGAAACTGAGGAACAAAGAAGCAAAGTAATTTGTCTAAGGTAATCTAGCAGACCAGTAGTAGAGCTGGGACTAAACCCCAGCTCCTCTGAATCCCCAGCAACTGCACTATCCACTAGGCCACACTGCCTTTCATAGAGCATTACTAATGGCTTTGGGCCAGATTCTGTTCCCCTTACACGCATGGAGTAGTACCTTACCAGGACTACTTGAGGAATAAGTAAATACTCAGTGTGCATAAAGGGAGCAGAATCTTGACCATTGTATGTATACATATTAATAATATAAAATGTTCAAAATAAAGGTATAATGCTATGAAGATTTTATCTTCCAAATCTGATTTGCCACACTGCATGCACCAGCTGTAGATGGGGAGGGAGGTTGATTTAAAAGTCACTTAGATGTGAAATATGTTAATCTGCCAGTAAAACTTGAAAAAACTTTCTTTGAACAGTTATAAATCAGCAATGATGCAGATGAAATCAATCAAGCTCAGGACACCTGGCTAGAAGTCGACACAACCTCCAGTGGTGTGGTGTCATTATTGAGGTCTTGTTGGCATCCATATTTCCTCCATTTTGAAGCCTAGAGAATCTCAAACTTTAAATACTGATGTCTTTTCGTCACATCACACACAATAGGCTGTAGATTCTTCCCCAGCCTGTTTCTGCTAATCAGCAGTGTTGCTATGGCACACTACGGTCTATCCTGTGCTCCTAAATATAGAAAACATTGCGGCAGCAATGCCCAACTACAAAAATAAAACAATTATCCATGGCTGAAGCAAAATGTCAGTTACACTCGTCATCCAAATAGAATCGCTGGAGATGGGCTGGATCCTCCTCATATGGGTTTTGTTTTTATTTTAAAACCCAAAGTATAAAGATGTTGCAAATCATGAATTTTATTATCCACATGAGAGGCATGTCGGATGTGTGGCATCAACACTGTAATATTAGACATTTATATAAAACACAATCAAATATTTTAGGTGCATACTGTGAATCAAATGTATGCTAGTATTTTCTGGCTTGAGTCTGTAACAGATTAGGGAGAGATTTTCAAGCACGGTTACCAGTAAGGTGCCTGACTCTCATTGAAATGGCTTATCATTTGTGCCTTTGAAACCTTCCCCTTAGAAAACCAGATCTTGGAATTTGTCCAAGCTGTGCTAGGCGTAGCTCAGGAGGATGTGAAAAGGTGGCTTCAAGCCACTTTTTGCCCCCCTTCCATCCCCCCCCTCCCCCAGTTCCGGGGCTGTTTGGCAAGTGGAGCAGCCACAAAAGGAACGTCTACACTGCAATAAAAGACCTGTGGCATGGCTGCGGGTGGCCCAGGTCAGCTGACTTGGACAGTCCGGGATCAGCTGTGGGGCTATACTATTGCAGTGTAGACGCCCGGGCTCTGAGACCCTACGAGGGGGGAGGGTCTCAGAGCCCCAGTCCAAGCCCAAATGTCTCCATGGCAGTTTTTAGTCCTGCAGCCCCAGCCCAAGTCAGCTGACCCAGACTGAGACTTGGTGCAATGGGTTTTTTTTATCACAGCGTAGATGTTTCCAAAAAGGCTTTCTTCTACCTGGGAATCCCTGGAAAGCAAATACATTCCAGCCATATCCCTTGTTCCCTGGATACCTCCACCGGGGCAAAGCACCTCTTTAAAAATACTTCAGCAGTAAAGAGCACCAACTTTCATTTATTTTGCCATCCCATCATGTCTTTCAGTTGGGGATCCTTTTTGATGTGATGACGTTAATCATTGCAAAATGACTGCATACTTCTATCTAATACATTTCAGTAGTGGTAATGTGACTGGGAAATTAAGAAAGGAGGAGACTATTAGGTACATACTGCGCTATTTTTTGCTGAATATGCTCACAAGATGTCTCTACAATTTTAACTTTTGGACACAGACAGACGTAACTGACTAACCTCTTTCATTTACCCCAGTATAATCCCAGTTTACTTTAAGGGTGCTGCATTAAAGTGATAGAGGCAGTGACGGTCAGAAATTTTTCAACACATTGCTTTTTTAATTAAAAAATGCTGAGTTATCAAAACCAAAACTTTTAATGAAATAGGGTTGGAATTGACAGATTTTCCCACTCAAAAAAAAAAAGTCAGAAAAAAGTTATTAAATGGAAAATTTCGTTTTCCAGTTTGAAACAAATTTTTGTTTAGAAATTTAAGCTAATACAACTGAAAAAGGTTAAAAAAGAAAAGAATGATGAAATCAAAAAAACCATTTTGAAATTATCAAAACAAAAAACATTTCAATTGACCCAAAATGGAAAATAAAAGGGTTTTCAGTATGCAAATATTGTTGATGTTTTGATTTTTCATCCTGCCCAGCTCTACTTGAGAGGAGATTTTGGCCCAATTTGTCTTTATAAATCATTCTGCATTTTAGTTATTCGGTCAAATCTGAACCATCCCTTGGCTTTGGTTTTGCAGAAACAAAATTTAATGGATGAGGTTTTGCAAAAGCAACTCACAGCCTTCCTGGCCTATCTTAGCTCTGTGCCATGGTGGTACATTGCTTTCTTCTCCTTTTTCTATAAAATAATAATGTCTTTAACAATGGCACTGAAAAGCCAAATTGAAAATATTATAGGCATAAATTGGCCATCATTAGGTTAGTATTTCAAATAATTAAATTGAACTTTAGCTGTTGTAGTCAATTAGTATTAATTGATTCACTTGTTGACTCATTCTACTTTGCACATGAAAGTAATCAGAAAATAATTTGCCTACCTAGCTGGCAATTAGAGATGTGGAGAACATAAAACAAACACAATTAAATGCTGTAATGTTCAAACTGAATCTTTGATACCTGTGAGTGATTGTTATAGTTTTCTGGCGTTAACATTATCCACTAGACTAGGAAATTGCCAAATTTAAATATATCACATTGTAACAGAATATACCTATGTGTTCACACCCACACACTATTGTAATAATCTTTTTACAAAGTATGCTTTGTAAAGTATCATTTGAAAACTCATGATTTGCTGGTCAGTATTGTCCTGATAAAATATGTGTGGTAACATTGTACGTGAAGCTATAAGATTCTCCTGTATGGTGTTATTAACACTTGTTTAAACCCCACAGCTCTGCCCAAACAGAAATTGGCAAACAGGTCTGTCCCAAACAAAGGAATATGGGCTCTACTTAATTTGCATTTAAGCAGTAAACAGAGTCATCAAGCAGGAAGGGATGAGAAAGGGAGTTCAAACATGTGAGTAAAAGCCAGCAGTGAACATCCTTCCACATAGCCTTTGTGGCCTGTGCCTAGCTGGTAATATTTTTTAAAGAGGGGGACTGACACTACAAAAAGGAGGGACAAATACTCCAAGGCACCTGTCTCTCCCTGCCAATTGCATTCACTGGATTCAAAGAGACAAAGGAAGCAGGTGTTATACTCTGCGGAGTTTGGTCAGTAATCTGCTGGAGCATATAGTGAGACATTTTGCTTGATTCTAGTACAGTTTGTTAAATTAGGCTTTAGCAAACATCTTATCTTTATTTTTCTTGTAACCATTTCTGACTTTTATGCCTCATTACTTGTACTCACTTAAAATCTATCTCTTTGTAGTTAATAAACTTGTTTTACTGTCTTAGCTAAACCAGTGTGTTTAAATTTAAGTGTCTGAATAACTATTTGAGATAATCAGGTGGCATATTATTCCTTTTAAGGAATGATAGCCTTAAAATATTTGTGCTGTCGAGGAGAGGGCTGGGCAGTATGGGACATACATTTCTGGGAGAAAATCTGATACTGAGGGTGTGTTGGGGTCACTGTTTCTGTGTGTGTTTGTCTGTGGTCACTTAAGTGCCTGAAAGGGAACAAATTCCCTAGACTGGAAAAAGAGCATTGTCTTCACTTACTCAGGTTCTTGTATTGATCCTCCAACGCAGTGGAATCTCTCTGGAACAGTCTTCCAGTCTTTTGCCATTTTAACCATTGCCCCAGCATCAAGGACTCCATAGCCAAACAAATGGTTAAATTCCAGACCAACACCATTTCTACGCCATTGATGGACTTCGTCATGAAGTTGGTTCCTTTTGGAGGTGAGCACTGTCAGATGCTGCATGTCTCTCCACGTCAAATCCAGGCTATGGAAGAATAACATAGAAAAGGTTATTTTGTGGTGTTTAGAAGAGGAATGAGAAAGTATGACATGTCCAAACTGTCTTCATTACATAAAACCTGCCTCAGAAAAATCCTCCATATCTTTTGGCCCAGAACAATCTCAAACCAAGATCTATTGACACAGTGCAGTGAAGAGGATCTGAGCACCATCACTGCCAGGAGGCATTGGAGGTGGATCAGTCATGTGCTTCAGATGGAAACTGATTCCATCACCAGAGTAGCAATAAGATGGACACCAGAAGGCAAGTGAAAACAAGGCCGCCCGAAAACAACATGGCGAAGTGCTGTGGAAGCTGAGCTGGAAAACCTGGGGCACAGCTGGGGAACCATTGAAAGACTTGCCAGAAACAGACAGGAGTGGAGGAGTTTCATTACTGCCCTAAATGCCAGAGGCGTATTAGGAACATGATGATGATGATGATGATGATGAAGAGGAGGATGGTTTTCTCTTTCCATAATAAGTTTGAAAGGACTGGTGTATTTGAACACTCCGTAAGGTAAATGCACTAAAAATAGAAGTGTAGACATTGTGGCTCAGGTTTTAGCTATTTTTAGCGTGCTAGCCCAAGTCTATTTGCTGAGACTGCCTACAATGGCATGTGGCCCATCGGCGACTGCCAGTAGCAAAAATTCCCAACTGCTGGAGACGGGACACTAGATGGAGAGGGCTCTGAGTTACTACTGAGAATTCTTTCCCAGGTATCTGCCTGGTAGGTCTTGTCCACCTGCTCAGGGTCTAACTGATGGCCATATTTGGGAATTTTCCACCAGGTCAGATTGGCAGAGATCCAGGGGGTTTTTCACCTTCCTCTGCAGCATGGGACATGGGTCACTTGCAGGTTTAAACTAGTGTAAATAGTGGATTCTCTATAACATGAGGTCTTTAAACCATGATTTGAGGACTTCAGTAACTCAGCCAGAGGTTAGGGGTCTATTACAGGAGTGGATGGGTGAGATTCTGTGGCCTGCAACGTGCAGGAGGTCAGACTAGATGATCATGATGGTCCCTTCTGACTGTAAAGCGTATGAGATTGGGAGGCTTGCTCCCAGCTGCAGTGTAGACATACTGTCTATGGTCAGAGTTCTAGGATTTTAAATCATAGAGACACCTATTAGTCCTCCAGAACTCCAAGAAAAGAGACCCTGTCTGGAGCACAGACCCCAGTCTGCTCACAGCTATAGAAATATGGCAAGTGCACAGGGCAGCATGATGGACACAGTGGTGCTGTGTAGGCAGTCATTCTAGCCATACCTCTACGTCCATGGGTGGGTGGGGAACTGTGTGCTAGCCAGGGTTTATATTGTCAGGGAGCAACTGGTGGTAGAGCAGAGGAAAACTCAAGAGGTGGGGGGAGTCCATGGGGACACAGCCAGAGGTGGGGACAGAGGAAACTGGAGGAGGGAAACAGGTGAGTCAGCTTGGGGAGGGGGCATCGGGGAGACAGACGGTGGAGTCGGAGAGAGACTATGAAGGGCATGTCAGCAGGCAGCCAGAGACAAAGCAGGTGGGGAGGGGAGGAAATATCTGTAAAAGGAATCAATATATGCAAATAAGGCAGTGCACATTATATACACGATGCAAATGAGGGCATTGCATTATTTACATAAACTCATCTAAGTTCCTGCACCCAGGGCTTGATTCAAAGCTCTTGAAGTTCAATAGGAGTCTTTCTATTTATTTCAATGGGCTTTGGATCTGGCTGTTCTAGCTTTAACAGCCCTGAACGTCAGCCTTACAGACAAGTAATGCAAAAAACAAAAATAAAAAAAAATCCCTCTTCTCCTAAACCTACTTAGCCTCCAGTGCCAATGCAAACACGCCAGCTGCCTCAGGTGCAGCTGCAGATGTTCCAGAATGACGTAGGGTACAGTTGCCATATAAATCCGTAGTAGCCTGCAAACATATCGAAAAAATGTGTAAGACTAGTTATTTCATTCTCCGTTGTGCTACAGACATGGAATAGCATGGAAGGCAATACTTGTTGATTACAGTAATGTTATACTTGTCACTAGGAACAGAATAATTACTGCCTTTTCAAACTACTAGATCACCTTTAAAATAGAATGGATAGATACACAGGGCAGGTGGGAACATGTGATTGGACAATGACAGTAAGAAGTAAACATTCATAGCGATATTATATTTCTATAAATGTCACAAAGCCCCTCCAGTCATCAACAGGATTTGAACCCAAGACTTTTAGCACCATAGTAGTTTTCTACTGCTTGAGTTACAGGAGTAGCTCCAATAGCAGGCAGTAGTATGGGTGCTATCATCTATAAGGACTAGCCACTAGAGGGAAATGTGACACAGTCTGCATTGCACAGTGATAGTCATGTATGTAATGTAGATCACTTCATGCATACAACTGACCCAATGAAATAAGTCAATATTTTCAAACTCATACAACAGATCTAGGACAGTCCAGATTGTCTCTATACTCAGAACATGAAATAACTGGAAAATGTGTAGTATCTGTTGACAAACATTGACCTTTTTATTAAGCCTGGCCCCTTTTAAGTATCAGACCCCACCCTGGATGATCTGAAGACTATTAAAGTAAGAGAATCCCCACCACACACTAGCATGCTAGGAGGAGCATGCTGTACCTTTCCAAGAGGTGGCATAGTGGAAACATTCCTAGTGTACACCTGGAACTGTGAGGGATTGTACCCCTAGGGTGTGAAGCTCCACTCTGCCCTCAACATGGGCCTGAACCTATCAGGTATAACCTGACACCTAATTTGTCATCTTTGGAGCAGGCTCCATCTTCTGTTTTGTACAGCACCTCACACAATGGGCTCCTGGTCCATGTCTGGGGCTCCTAGGTGTTACTACAATGCTAATAATAAAAATAGATCACTGTTGAATTAAACAGTGGGAATTTGTGATGCAAATGTCAAGGTTGTTTATTTAGAGTTTTACACACATTAAAAAGGAGCTTTAATCCTTTGCTCTAGAGGCTTCTTAAGCTATTAAATAAACAACCATTTCTGTAACCACACTCCTAGACCAACCTCTCAAGAAAAACACTAAACAGACTGGCAAGGAGCGAGAATATGCAGAAACCACCCAGGAAGCTTGACAATATTCCATATTTCACTACTACTTTGCCCTGAACTTGTTTCGTTATCAACCTTATTCTGCCAAACATACACAGGGTTACAGACAAATTGGCAATGACTATATTAGCCTAAAATATGCTCAAATTGGAGGTGATGTGTTATGCTGGGGATTTCAACTCTTCGTTATCATGCAATTACACAAAGAAAGTCTGCCTGGGAATTAAAAATTCTGAGGACATATGAATAAATAAGCCCCAGCTTCACTTTCCAAGTTGTATTCTGATAACTAGGGAACACCACCTACATGCAGCCATAAAACATAGACGCTCATTGCTGCTTTCAATATCGACCTCCCATCTCATCAGCTGACAGTTTGGGCATTGTCAGGTATTGTGAATGAGAAAATATTAGTTTTAACAAAGGAACATCTGCTGCTCCTAAGCAGAAAATGATGCGTACAGACGTGTGTGAGTGTAGGGAGCAGGACAACAGCACAATAATATCTGCACTCACCACACCAGCTTCGGGATTTCTCTTCCTCCCATTGCTGAACGTGGAGGCCAAGGTCGAAGAGCAGCTTTCATCGTACAGAGCTGTCCGGCCATCATTAATAGCAGAATTGATGGAGATAGTCCACATGCTTGATGCGTAGCCGTCACAGTTACAATCATCATAGCTGCCTCCATCTCCAGAGGCCCAGACGTAGATGCTGCCCTTGCCGCCACGGCCCTGTGGAAAAGAAATTGAGTCTGTCAGGTTAAATTATGCATTCAAACATGAAGCAAGGCATCCATCTGTCAAGGAGAGAACAGGCCCTAGATAAATGTACATCAGTAGCAAGCTGAAAGTGCATGGACTGCTGCAGACTTTAAAAATCCAGTTAACCGTTAATCACAGCCTGTTCTGCAATCTTTTATGTGCAGAGTGTTCTCATTTATCATTTTGTTTACTTGGAACACCAAAGGTTTCTGTGCTAAGACATTTTATGGATTCATTAGAACCTGGAGTTGATATCAGGCACTAAGCACTATGGGGACATAAGAATACAAGAACGGCCATACTGGGTAAAACCAAAGGTCCACCTAGTCCCAGTATCCTGTCTTCCAACAATGGCCAATGCCAGGTGCCCCAGAGGGAATGAACAGAGCAGGTAATCATCAAGTGATCCATCCCCTGTCACCTATTCCCAGCTTCTGGCAAACAGAGGCTAGGGACACCATCCCTGCCCATCCTGGCTAACAGCCATTGATGGACCTATCCTCCATGAATTTATCTAGTTCTTTTTTGAACCCTGTTATAGTCTTCACAACATCCTCTGGCAAGGAGTTCCACAGGTTGTCTGTGCATTGTGTGAAAAAATATTTCCTTTTGTTTGTTTTAATATTGCTGCCTATTAATTTCATTTGGTGACCCCTAATTCTTCTCTTATGAGAAGGAGTAAATAACATTTCCTTAGTTACTTTCCCCACACCAGTCATGATTTTATAGATCTCTTCGTTATCTCTTTTTCAAGCTGAAAAGTCCCAATCTTATTAATCTTTCCTCATATGGCAGCCGCTCCATGCCCTAATAATTTTTGTTTCCATTTTCCTGACCTTTTCCAATTCCAATATATCTTTTTTCAGATGGGGCGACCACAGTACACACAGTATTCAAGATGTGGGCATACCATGGATTTATATAGAGGCAATATGATATTTTCTGTCTTCTTATCTATCCCTTTCTTAATGATTTCCAACATTCTGTTCACTTTTTTGACGGCCGCTGCACATTGAGTGGATGTTTTCAGAGAACTATCCACAAAGCCTCTAAGATCTCTTTCTTGAGTGGTAACAGATAATTTAGACCCCATCATTTTGTATGTATAGTTGGGATTATGTTTTCCAATCTGCATTACTTTGCATTTATCAACATTGAATTTCATCTGCCATTTTGTTGCCCAGTCATCCAGTTTTGTGAGATCCTTTTGTAGCTCTCTTCAGTCTGCCTGAGACTTAACTATCTTGAGTAGTTTTGTATCATCTGCAAATTTTGCCACCTCACTGTTTACCACTTTTTCCAGATCATTAAAATGGATATACTATTCATCTAACTGACCAGGTTTATAAGGTACACTTAAGGTCTGAGTGTGGCTAGAAAACCATGCAAAACTGTTACCACTTTCTTTTCTCAACAGATTGGCTCCCTGTTTTTTTTTTTACTCATGTCTATTTGTTTTACTGACCAAACTAGCTTGAATTACTGTTAGCGCTGTAGATCCAACACCGTTATGAGAGCAACTGAATCATCAACAAAAGAAAGCACCTCCCAACTCCCCTTATGAAGCTGGTATTGGCTGGAGAGATCTAAGCCAAGAGGGAGACATGATGGATAGAACCCTCTCAGTAGCTAAAGGAAAAGAGAGCAGTATCCTCCCACCTACTCCATGCAACCAGGAAGAGGGAGGGGTTATTTCAGCACTTTACCCCGAGAAAAGCGGGGTGAGGGCTGGATAGAGAAATGTTTTGATTGAGAGTCTTGAAACCTTGGATGAAATCCTGGCTACATTGAAGTCAATAACAAAATTCTCATTAACGTCACTGAACATTTTACCCTTTGAGTTTTAATCTTAATCCCCTGCCCCCATTTATTTCTGATAACATAAAAGGGAGTAAGAACACAGCTTAATGTCTAGCTCTCAGGTATGTCTGCAGTGCTGAAGGTTAGGAAAACGACCTTCTGGCTAGTTAATGAGCAAATGTGATCTGGAAGTCATGGAGCACATGAATACAGCACCCTACAATGTCATTTTAATAGGGTATGTTCTCTGACTGTACTTTATATCAAATCCCATTTCACAGCAGTGCCTCATATCTTTTATCACAACACAGTGGACGATGCAACTTCATTATTTTTAAACGAGTTAGCAAGTAGCATTATAATTCGCTGATATCACAGAGGGATTTCAGCCATTAGGTTGTATTTCTTCTCTGGAGAAGAACTCTTGTAATAAAGATTATGGCACTGGATAGCTTATTTAAATCAGCCTAAGAGTACCCATATAGACTCGAGGTCAGTCATTTTAGATATACGTGATTGGATATACTGTTGTAAAAATTTATGTTGTAAGAACAAAAGCTAAGGAACATGGGCTTGTATCTGTCCAACAAGTGATTCTTTAAAAGCAAAGCATTAAAATAAGAAAAAGAATGCCTTTTTTCTTCCATTTTAAAATACCCCATTTGACCTGAAACCCCCAGCTGGTGCTAAGGTAGCTGTAGATTTGGGGAAAAGGGGAAACAGGGACCCAGTATCCTAAAGCAAGTGCTTGCCAGAAGGCAATGCTTCCCCTCTGTGGTAGATTATCTTTGTTAATACCCCAAAACTATTCCCAATGATGGCATTGAGATGAGGCCTTTTGGTCTTAGCAGTATTAGTATAAAGAACACCTTCCTTCTTAATTCGCAGGACTGCACTTTTAATTGGATAAGAATAGTGGTGTTATACTTTAGCCAATTTGCTAACTCCGGAGATGGAAGAACAAGTGAGGCTAAGCAGTGTTTTTGTACTAGGACTAGAAGATAGCAGTCACTAATCTCCATGGCTCCTTGTTAACTTTCCTATATTTAAATACATCCTTCATTGGGATAGTTAACAAGGGATTTTTGTATCACATTAGCAAAATTTTGTGAAACATTAATACTGTGTAGAAGAATAAATCACATAAATAAAATAAACAAGGTGATAAGCAGAGTCTAAGGCTATAGAGAGCTGGTTGGGACAGGTTCCTAAAAATAATTCATTCATATAAAATATTAAATGCCCTGAGTTATCATCTTCTAGAAACAAGTAAACAATTTTTAGAATTCAAAAAAAGTTTGTTTAACTCCCTCGTCACATTCTCCTCAATTCTCTTACATTTTTTTCACTTCTCTATTCTAGCCAGGACTGGAAACAGAAGTGCACAAACATCATGGGAAAGGCTTTAATAGCCCAAATGAAGGACTGGAAATCTCCTCAGAAATCCTGTTCTTTTGAGATTTGCACCCGAATGTGGCAGATTTCAGAGGTTCGGACAATTTGCCAGGGGAAACTTTTGGTTGATTACTTGAATATTTCCAGTTCTCCTCTTATTAGTGAAGATACAAAAGCTGATCAAAACTTGCATAATAAAACCTGGAAACAGGAAAACTGGGGGAAATTTATCCAGTCTGGGGCTTAATTAGAAATCTGTCTAATGCTGAGGGCCTCCTTTTGAAGTCCAGACTCTCACATGTCACACATGAATATACTCACACTAATCCCATTAATGCTAACGGTAAGTGTTACTCAACATGAGGAAATGTTGCAGAATCAGGCCATGAACTTACAGGAGTAAGTAAATGCTGAACATAACCGAGATACCAGAGGGAGCTTGGAGAAAGACACATGAGGAGAAGAGAAAAGAACAAGGAGACAGTGGAGCTGTTACATTTTTGTATGTTTGTTTCACTCAGATTCCTGTTCGTTTCCCCAGAAAATACAGCTCGGAGTCTAACTTCCAGATTTGTTGCTCTTTTGAATCCAAAACTCGAATTGCGAGTTGAGGGTGAATCAGTGTGGATTTGGCACGAGTATAACGGAAGTCTAAAAGACACTGTTCATTCCAAGTATACTGAAATGCAATACAGGGGCATGTACAAAACATGGAATGTTGTCAGTGGCTACTGTACTATTTTAAAACAATATCTAGCTGAAGAAACCAACAAGTTGCCTATTTGTAATCTTCTGTATACAATACCAGTTAAAATAGGCATGACTTGCCCACTGGGTAACTATGTTTTCCATTTTAACTGTTGCCTTGTAGAGCTCATACTTTCAGAGAACTCCCTTTACTGTTGTCTAGCTAGCTAGACTGTTGGGTAACACTGCAGGCTAATTATTGAAATATCTCCTTAAATAAAACTCGAGATGTCTCTTTATTACTATTAACACTGTGTGTACTGCAGTAGTGTCTAGGGACCCCAGTCATGGAGTAGGACCCCATTGTACTAAGCGCTGTAGAAACACAGAACAAAAGGATGGCCCCTCCTCCCAACAGCTTACAATCCAAATATAAGGCCAGGTCTACACTATAAACCAGGGGTGGCCAAACTTACTGGCGCTCCAAGCCACATACGACAATCTTCAGAAGTTCGAGAGCCGGAGCACACCTGCTAGGAGCTCGGGCTTGGGGCTTCAGCCCCACTCCTGCTGAAGCCCCGAACTCCAGCAGGTGCGCCTCGTAGGGCTGAAGCCCCGAGACCCTTCTCCCCACTGGAGAGAAGCTCCTACCCCACTACCCCTCTGCAAGGCAGAGGTCCCGAGCTCCTCCCCTCACCCCGTCTGGTAGGTGGAGAATATGGGGCCAGAGGGGGCTTGTGAGCAGCACTTTCATGGTAAAAGAGCTGCATGTGGCTCGCAAGTCACAATTTGGCCACCCCGATATAAACTTACATTGGTATAACTATGTCTGTCAGGGGTGTGAAAAATCCACACCCGTGAGCGACACAGTTATACCAACCTAGCTCCCGGTGTAGATATCACTTCTCCCATCAATACAGCTACCACCACTCATGGAGGTGGATTAACTATGCCACTGCAGCGTTTTAAGTGAAGACCTGCCCTAAGAGACAACTGGTGGATACAGACAGATGGGGATGTACAAGGAAACAATGCGACAATACTAGTCTCAGCACACCAACTGCCTCACTTTGTCAAGTATTTTTTAG